ATCGGTTTGAGTTCTACACTCACTACGTCCCTGGAATAAAACCACTGAAAATGGTGATCCGTGGTCTTCCAAATCTCCCTTTTGCGGAGATTAAAGCGGAATTGGAGCTCCTTCATCTGCAACCAATCAACATTTTTCCCATTGCTAGACGTGATGAAACCAGTGCATTCCGGGACCAATGTGGCTGCTCTGCGGCAGATTCGCGCGCTTTTCAACATCGTGATTCAGTGGGAGCAGTATTGCCCTCGGCACCGTGACGTGACACAGTGCACTAATTGTCTGGAATTTGGGCACGGTATGAAGAATTGTCACATGAAGGCTCGTTGTGGAAAATGTGCTGGGGCTGACAATACTACCGCCTGCAAGAAGGAAGAAGAAGCTGAACCTAAGTGCGTGAACTGTGATTCCAACCATCTGGGCAGCGATAGGAGATGTCCCAAGCGAGTGGCCTGCATCCAGATCCGACAACAGGCTTCCACGAGGAACCAACCTGGTCGACACCGCAATAATCGTGCTCAAAATGGACACGTTCCAGTACTTCAGGCTCGTCGTATGGATCCGAACCTTGCACCGCTTTCACTAAACCAGGCTCTACTGCCCCGGGATTATCGTACGCCCGTGCTGTGTCAGGTGAGTCAGAAGACAATTCTCCACTCACAAGCGACGAACTAGTGATCCTCGTGACTGAGGTGATCATAATCTTGCGCATCACCCAGACACTACCTGAGCAGCTTCGTTCAGTTATGTCCCTCGTGCAAAAGTACACCCAACCGGTGGATGTAAGATTCGCTTACAATTATGTGGGATTCATCATCAGAGGATGTAAGTGGAGACCGCATGAACCGAGGATGCGATATACCTAGCTGCGGTCCGATGTAAGAAAATTGGAGACCGAAAAATGTGGAGTTGTATTAGTGAGTGAAATTAATTATGTCGAAAGAAAATAGAAAAAAGGTTGCCGACTGGACTCGAACCACGGACGTTGCGACTATCAGACCTGTGCTTTTTCCACTGCTCTCTCCATGCTTCTGAATATGGTCAGCCTAAAAGCAAACATGAAGCGCTCATTTTCTCGCATGCTCGACTTCGTATGCTTTTTCTGCTGGAGAGATTCGAGTTAAGTGTGTGCGTCGTTCTACAATGTTCTACAATGTACGTCGTTCTACAAGCTTACTGGTATAGTCGAAAACGTAGATGGAACACGAAATAAAAAAAGACAAAAAACCATTACATCGCCTGCATGGTCAATTTCTAACATTCGTTGCGATGTTCATGAACAGAGGATGATAGGAAACGGAACTAACATTAATTGTAATAGATTTTTGGTTTGCGTGTATAGACAGTGAAGCCATCAAAAATAGTTAACTGGAACGCTTGTTCGCTCAAGAGCAAAATCATTGAGTTCGTTGATTTCCTCAATGAACATAGCATTGATATCGCCGTCATCACCGAAACACACCTGAAGCCAGAGATAAATGTTCACCTATCCGATTTCGCCTCGTAAGGCTCCACCGGCCCAGCGGAGGAGGAGTGGCTATCGCATTAAGGATAAATATTGGCTGTCGACTGCTACCGAGTTTCCAACTGAAGATGATCGAAGCGGTGGGTGTGGAAGTCTCCTGTCGGCCCTATTACCATCATTGCGGCCTACTGTCCCAAACAAGTCACCATCAGGGACGGGTCGGTGGCAGTCCTGCGGAGAGACATCATCAGACTAACTCGACGCCGTGAGAAGTACATCATCGCTGGCGACCTGAACGCCAAACACCAGGCTTGGGGCAACAGTCGACGCAACCAAAACGGCACAATCCTGAACGACGACCTGCAAGAGGCTCACTACACCATAATAGCGCCGGACTCTTCCACCCGCTTGAGCCGGTCAGGAGCTGAGGTCGGACCACTATCCGGTGGTGGCCGATGTGGGCTCATCCGTCAACCGATTCCAAGCTTCCCGACGCAACTACCATCGCGTCAGCTGGGATCAGTTCCAACACTGTGTCGACTCCACTGTCTATGGTGTCCTTCCGAAGACTCTCGAAGACGTTGACCGGTGTCTGCGTTCCATCAAGGAGGCGATATCTCGGGCCAGGGAACAACACGTGCCAGTATCCAGACAGGTGAGCAATTAGACTCCATAACTCCATTCGAAGGCAATACCAGCGTTACGGCTTGCCTGCCTTGAAGACCCATTGTAATCGCTTAACAAAAACCATCCAAGTTAGGATGGTTGACCTAAGAAATCAGAACTTTGCTAACAGGATCCGCTCTCTCCCAGATTGTGCAAATCCCTTTTGGAATCCTAAAAAAAACGCCAAGACCCATTCCACCACTGACCCCACTGGATAGTCCCGGCGACCGAACCACTGGGTCTGATAACTCCTGAAGAGAAGGCTGCCGCGTCAACACTCTGTCAGCTCCCATAATCTCGGACAAAACATCATCAGCCCTCACGAAGCTGAGATTGCTGAAAACGCAACCAACCTTCATCAGATTCCTAATATTTTCCCCGAGGAATCCGAGATTACGGCTGACGAACTGTTGACCTATATCAAATCATCTAAAAACATGAAGGCCCCAGGTTTCGACAACATCCGGAATCTGGAACTCAAACACTTGAGTTCCACATTTTACAACCATCTGGCACTGATTTTTAATCTGTGCCTCCGACTTGGCTACTTCCCCTCGTGTTGGAAGTTAGTTAAAGTCATACCCATCCGGAAACCTGGGAAGGATCCGTCCTCTCCTTCAAGTTATCGACCAATCAGACTTCTCTCAGGGTTATCAAAACTGTTCGGAAGAGCACTGTACCACCGGCTCCTAACGTGTGCCGAAGAAAACAACTTGTTACTCGAGGAACAGTTTGGTTCTCGGGAAGGTCGTTCGACCGTCCGACCGAACAAGTCTGTTTCGAAAACATCTGCCATGGCGTTGTTGGACGTTGAAAAAGCGTTCGACAATGTCTGGCATGATGGCCTGGTGTTCAAATTGCAGCAGTACGGTCTTCCAATCTCCCTAGTGACGATCATAAACAACTATCGATCAGACAGGATGTTCCGAGTCTCTCTGAATGGCATCACATCGGATGCTTTCAACATCGGTGCCGGGGTTCCACAAGGAAGCATTCTTGGTCCCATCCTATTCAACCTGTTCACCTCCGATATGCCGGCTCTCCCTGATGGTGGATCGTTGTCTCTGTTCGCAGATGACACATCCATCGTCTACCAGGGTAGGAGTCATCGGAGCTCTAACTGCCAAACTTCAGAGAGACCTGGACGTCCTGTCTGAATATTTCAACAGCTGGAAGATCCGTATCAACGCGGCAAAGACCCAGGTCATCATCTTTCCACACTCTAAATCTCCCAGATTTGTTCCGTCGGAGAATAATAAGATCTGCCTGAATTACCTAGTGGTGGAATGGTTGAAAGAGGTAGTCTACCTCGGTTTAACACTAGACAGCAAGCTGATTTTCAGGGAGCACGATGATAAAACGAAAACCAAGTGTAACAGGGGATTCATTCTACTGGCCTGATGGAGTAAATGTACGTGAATTTGAATCAAAAAACGACGTGGCTTCAATCAATCTACGACCACCAATACTTCCACAATAAGTTTATCGATACACTCTAAATCAACTACTCGCAACTCTACGCAACTTTCATCTACTCTGGGACACAACGGTGTTCGCCCTATGGAAGCACCGATCCTCTCACCACAGTCGTGCCTTTCCTGCCATCGTCCATCAGTCGTCCCGGCCCTGTGTGTGAGTTTGGAAACGTGGTCTTCCAAACTAATACCGCAGGCAAGTACGATCCATTCTGGTTCAGCCCAACTCCTGATTCGTTGCTTGCTTTCAGTACTACACCGTTCAGCCGTCATTATTCAAGACCTTCAACTCAGCATGTTTCAACTCTGGGACGCAACGATACTGGCTACATGGAAGCCCCTAATCCCCCTACCACAGTCAAGCTTTTCCCGTCATCGGCCAACAGTCGTCCTGGCCCTGTGTGTGGGGTTATAGAAGGGGTCTTCCAACCCGCTATCTTTGGCAAGTACGTTTCTGTTTTAAGCAGTTCAACTTCTGATCAATCTACTGGTTCTAGCGTTGCAATCAACTGTCCCTCTTCAAACGTCAGCGAGTTTAACTATCCAAACAGCACGGTAGTGACCAGCAGCAATAATGATGCAGCTCATTCAGGACACAACTTTCTATCCGTCTACTACCAGAACGTCAGAGGTCTGCGCACTAAAACGACAGAATTGAAGTTAAGGCTATCGAGCTGCGACTACGATATAATTGTTTTTACCGAAACATGGCTCCGGTCTGATATAAGCGATACGGAACTCACTTCGGACTACTCAATATTTCGGTGTGATCGAAGTGAAACTATTAGTAATTCTTCGAGGGGTGGTGGAGTTTTCGTAGCTGTTAAAAATAATTTGCACTGTACTGCGGTTTCTTTGGACGATTGTAGACAGCTTGAACAAATTGTTGTACGAGTAACACTTCCTCACCATTCGCTGTTGATCATTGGCATCTATCTTCCCCCGAATTCCGACGCAAGTTTATATTCGGCTCACGCTACGGCTGTCCAGAACTTATCGGATCGTTCGTCAAACAATGACATTATTCTACTCTTCGGGGACTACAATCTTCCTCATCTGCAATGGTGCTTCGATGAGGACGTTAATGGGTTTATACCTTCAAAGGCTTCCAGTGAACAAGAACTCAATCTCACCGAATCCATCTCTGCGTGTGGGCTGGTTCAAGTGAATTCTTATACGAACCCGAACGGTAGACTACTAGATCTAGCATTCACGAATTCTCCAGATGTCATTGAAGAACTGCGGCCACCACTTCCACTCTTATCCACCGACGCCCATCACCCACAGTTTATTTTACTAGTGGATGTGCACAGCGTCATCATAAACCACCAAATTGACGCGGATTCGGATGCAATTGACCCAGATTAACGTTCCCAAGTTTATGGAAAACCGCGTCAATGATTCCTGTACACAAATCTGGCAGTTTAAACAATGTGGTAAACTATCGAGGGATTTCAATTCTCTGCTGTCTGGGAAAGGTTCTCGAATCACTAGTGCATAAGGTCGTGCTGAATGCAGCGAAACCGATTATCTCTGAGTATCAGCACGGATTCATACCACACCGGTCTACTACAACCAACTTACTGTTCCGTGAGATAGAACGTCGCAACCAGGTGGACTCTATTTACATCGACTTTTCGAAAGCGTTCGACACCGTCCCGCATGCCTATGCCACAGAAAAACTGAAACACATGGGATTTCCAGATTGGATTGCGGACTGGATAAGGTCATATCTAACGGGTCGAAAGGCATTTGTGCAAGTGAACTCGTCTCGTTCTAATACGTTCGAACTACCATTTGGCGTACCACAGGGTAGCGTGTTAGGACCTTTGCTCTATGTCCTCTTTATTAACGACCTGTGCCTTCGAATATCCTCTGGAAAGCTCCTTTATGCTGATGACCTCAAAATCTTCAGAATTATCGCGTCTGTACTCGATTGTATTGTACTGCAGGCTGACATCGACGTAGTGTCAATCTGGTGCAAAGAGAATGGTATGAGCGTGAACATCAATAAATGCAAAACGATCGCATTTAGTCGCTGTTTGTCAACGCTCACTCACCAATATCGAATTGACACTACTCCGCTATAATGTGTGCAATTTATTCGCGACTTGGAAGTTATAATTGACTCTAAACTTAGATTCAGCGAACATGTCTCCACCCTGACAGCAAAAGCTTTCTCCGTACTCGGGTTTATTCGTCGTAATGCTTCTCAACTAACCGATGTGTACGCATTAAAATCACTCTTTTGTGCTTTAGTGCGCAGCATTCTGGAATACGCTGCCCCGGTTTGGGCACCATATCACGTCCCAGGTGATCCGCATTGAACGTATACAAAAAATGTTCATACGATTTGCACTCCGGAACCTGCCGTGGAATGATCCCGTGAATCTTTTCTGATTACCAACAAAGGTGCCGTTTAATCAACTTAGAGTGTGACGGCTGAGATTGCAACAATTGGTTGTATTCGACATCCTGATGAACAACACCGACTGTCCAGATCTTCTACAGGAAGTTATGCTTAACGCACCTCAGCGCCAATTACGAAACTCTGCCCTTATTGTTATTCCCAGTCACAGGACTAGTTATGGGTTTAATAGTCCACAAAGTTCCTGTCTTAGAGCTTTTAATGCTGTTTGTGATAACTTCGATTTTAATTTAACTAGGCTCTGTTTTAAAAATAGGTTAAGAGCAAATGTGATAGGTTAAGATTAGTCTGTGCGAAACCGTCGAAGACTGAATAAATAAATAAATAAAAACATCCTGAAAAGATCCCTGTATCCACTCATCAACAGGAGGTCTACCCTGTCCCTGAAAAATAAGCTTGCTGTCTACAACAAATCCTCCTTCCCGTATTCGAGTACGGTATGCCAATCTGGGAGAGTTGCACCAAATGCCATTCAGACATTAGAAGAACGGAGAGGTTTTATCCTGGAAAGGGTCAGAGACATCTGTCTGAGATCAACTCATCAGATCATACGTGATCTAGCACGTTAGGCTAAGTTATACTCGTAGTTAGGTAGGTTATCATTTTTTTTTTTAATTCAAACATAACACCCCCCCCCCCCTCAGGGGGTACTCGTTAGACTAGTAGAAAAACGTGAATACGTAAATTAGAATAACAAATGAAACAAAGATGGAGAGACTGATAGGCTAGGCTAACCAATTACAATGTTAAAACAATGTAAAACCATAATTAGCAGAAATAAACGTAAATTTACTGCTACTACTAGTTACTACTACTACTCTCTGGGGACTGGTAAAGGGTGTCCCACATCAAATTGCATCACGAAAAAAAAAACGCTGTAGAAAATTACCTAGTTGACCGATCCTTTTCAAACTTTCAGACAATCAAATATAACCCATTAGTAAGCTTTTGGCATATTTATTTCATTCAACTTCAATACCATAACTGTACGCTCGCATCTTATGCTTAACTCTACTCATTAGGTTCTGTACAACATCTGGCTGCAGCTTCTTCTGTACGGAAACCCACTTTTTCTTAATGTCTTCCTCAGATTTGACCTTCTTGGGATGCTTCCGTAGTGCCTGCTTCATAAAAGCCCAGTATTTTTCGATGGGCCATAGTTCCGGTGCGTTGAAGGGGTTCATGTCCTTGTGTACGAAAGTGACCCCGTTGCACAATGGCGCCAAGCTGGACTTTAATCAAAAATTTATTTTTTGATTTTCAATGGTTTGAATTTTTTTATTTTTACTTACATATTGAATAAAGTTTTCCAACAATATCACAACATTATAAAGAAAATTATTTTTTCAGCAGCTATTCAAAGGTGAGGAGGTCGAGAAATACTGTGAGAATTTGCTTAAAAAACAACAGCAAACCTCTGTCATTAATATGAATATATCTTTTCAACTATATTTCTGATTTGGGTCAAAATGGTTTTAATTTGAAGGGTTTCCATCCTTATGTTTGCCATTCGATTTATCCAATACAAGTTATCCTTCTCTTTCCTACATTCGACTATAAATGATAAGGGATGCAGAAAATTGCAAATCTTAATGTTTAACGAGCTTTTACATTTTTTTGAAACAGTTCGAAAAGATCGCTTGTAGTGCACAATGATGGAAAATTATTGTACTTTTTGGAAATGTACATCTTGATTTGCCCCTTTTTGCCCCAAGGTATGATTTAAAAAAAAAACATCGGAGACGATTTTTCAAAAAAAAAAAAAAACAGTGGAGACGCATGGTAGTTTGTAACACAAAAGGATTTTGCGATGCTTTGATTTTGGTAGTCCACTTTTCATAGAGATGATGTTTGACGATGAAAATTTTGATATGTCTTAGAAAAAAAAGATAGGGTTATTATCCTCAAATACGTTTATTTACTCTCAAACCATATTGATGTTCTTCATTTAACTGTCATCGCTCTCATCGCTGGGCTCGAATTCAGGCTTACTATATTTTTTTCTTATCATAAATTAATAACGACTTCACCTCTTCAGGCAAATCCCTCGACGCTTTAGCTGTTTCATGCCGAAAACTGGTGACAATCGGATCTGATGCTACCAACAATCCGCAAAATACATCGCGTAGCATTTTTTCTCGTGATCCTTTCCAGGCATTGTCATTGCGCATTCTCCGAAGCTCGTTATCCAGACTGTCTTGAGCTTCCTCTGAAAGCTTGCCAATCGGTACTGATGCTTCGTGAATTATCGAATGTCCGTGAATCAGCAACTTATGGATCGATGTCGGCATATGGTACCAGTCATAGAGTTGGACGTACAGACGAGCCGTGTCTGTGGCATATTTCTGAAACTTTTCAGAATCAATGGATTCTCCACTAGAAATAGCTTTTAACAGGGTCCGAAATCTTTTTATCAAATTCAAGTCGATAAGGGTGATTGCCTAAGATATTTACGCATTTTCAAAAAAAAAAACGCCTGGCGGTGTTGCCAGTATTGCTTGTGCCAAAACCAGGACGAGTTTTATCAACGTGCAGGCCAAGTTTACTGAAGAACTATGTCTGCCATTGGTGGCACTCTCAAGCGAATTGAAAAGAAAGCTAGTCTTGCTCGAGATTATGGAAACACCATACCAACTCCACGAGAATTATATAACTGGGCAGTTGAATCAACAGATAAAAATATCACAAAACTACCTTTCGAGAACATATCTACTGAACAGTACATCGACATGTTAGAATAACTCGAAGAACTATATAATAGCACAAAGAAAGTATCTGGCACACATAAATTCCACAGTTTTGTACCTATAACTGGTGATAAAGTAGCGGCCAAAAGGTATTCTAATTCAGAAGATGAGCCAAAAATATTTAACTTGATTGGAAAAAGGAAAAAATAGCATGTATGAAAATAGGTTTAAAACATTGAAAATATATAAATAAATGATATATGAAAAATCTTGTCTTTTTTCTCACACATATTATCAGATTTTGCCTCAGTAGTAGACAACAGCATAAGAGAATGATATTGTTTTGACATGGTCTACATGTCCAGAAAATTTTATTGAACTCTGAGAGGGTGCTGCCAATTCCAAATACGATTTGGCGAGAAATGCATCTTGAGCCCTTTTCATATGAAATTCTCGATTAATCAAAGTGAACTTAAGTGCTGAAGAAAGTTTTATTGAAATCTGAGAGGTTGCTGCCAGATCCGAATACGATTTGGCACGAAATGCGTCAATACTAGTTTCAAAAAACAAAGTTATAACCAATTAAAGTAATTACTCACTCGAAGTACAAGCTCATCTCAGGTTCTCTGTTTTGCGACGCTAGCTTCTATCGCAACTGCTGTTGAATTCCTTTTTCGGCCGACCACGCTTCGAACCTGAACTGGAACTGGAAGCTCCACCAATATGAATTGATCTAACCATTCTGCATTTGCTGTCAGAAATCGTTCATTCATTCGTTTTGCATTGTTCCAGCGGCGTAGGTATTGGCGATACAAAGCGCCTATTATAACATCAATTATTCCCACATGCCTCGTTATGTATTCGCGAATTGATCTGAATTCCTCCTCGGAACTGCCCAGAACGTGTAAACCACCTAGTATGTCTGTTCTTTTTAAGAAAATTTATATATGGCAATGAAAAGGGTTTAACTATTGTGTTTCTGATGCTTTTAGGATAGACCAGGCTGAGTAAAATTTCCGTGGATTTTCCGAATATCCGAGAAGTTTTTTCCTGGAAAAGCCACACACACACACACACACACACACACACACACACACACACACACAAACACATAAATACAGATATTGTTAATGATAAATTGTATATGACACTCGACCTTGCGCGTCTCGGGTAAAAAAACCGTTTTTCAAGCGGTTTCAAGTAAGGTGATGAGGGGGCGTCCATAAAGTACGTCATGTTCTAAGGGGGGAGTGGGACATGAAGAATCTTTGACAAACAATGTATTAAGTCTAAGCAAAATCCATTGAAAGAGGAGAGAGAAGGGTTGATTTTCCCTCAATATAACGTGACGTACTCTATGGATCGCCACTTAAAGTAAAAATATCAAAAACGGGCGCAACATCAAAAAATCACTACAATATGAAATTTCCATCGAATTCAGACAACTTTTGGATTTTTGTCCGAGATTTGTATGGACGGTGTCCACTGTGCGTTGGCTTCGTACCACTCCAGAACAACATTCGAATAGTGCCACGAAGTTAGATCCGGCTAGAAGATCGTAGGGCCCTCGTGTTGCTTCAACAGAGGAAGCAGACACTTCTGTGGACACTCCTTGAGGTAGATCTCCCCGTTTACAATCCCAGTAGTCACATGAGCAGATCGCTTGCCAAATCATGGATTTCCTGGCAAACTTTGAAAGCATCTGCTTCCTTACTTCCTCCGGAACATCAAACTTGTGCTGGACGGTGAAGAACAGTAGCCCCGGAAGCTGCCGGAAGTTCGCCTTGACGTAAGTCTCATCATCCATGATGAAGCAATGAGGCTTCGTCAGCATCCGGGCCCATGACATTCCCACCGTATTTTGCCGTTCGTCACGATTTGGAGACTTCTGCACTTTGTACGTATGCAGTCCCTCCCGGTCCTTGGCTCTCTGAACGAAAGACTTGGATCGATTCAACTTTTTGGCCACATCCCTGACCGAAGCATTGGGATTCCACTTAAATGCTTTCACGACACGCTTGTGATCCTGATCACTAATAGAACACCCATGCTGACCGCATTTCTCCTTCCATTCGATACTCAGAGTTTCGTAGTAACGTTTAATCACACGACTCACCGTTGATTGCACGATTCCGAGTTGTTTTCCGATGTCCCGATGAGAGAGTCGATGATTTTCCAGGTGCTTGCCCAAAATCAATTCGCGACGTTGCTTTTCGGGTGACGCCATTTTTTCCAACTTTCAAAAAACTGACAGCGATAAAAATACAGTGTAAACAATACACTCTAAACTACTTCTATCCAAGTTTTCAAGAGAAAATACCCAATGGGTAGATTTCTACAGCGTTTTTTACGTGATGCAATTTGATGTGGGACACCCTTTAGGGATTTCAATTTCACTTTGTTGTTCAATTTCAGGAAAAGGACATTGTTGTTGAAAGCAATGCTCATCTATTTTTTGTTTAAAATGATAGCTGACTAATGACCTTCAATATGCAAATTTCGCTCTCATTTCAATGTGGGTTGAACATTTCAAATAAACGTACCAATTAAATCGTAGCTCATATAGTTAAACCTACCCTCTACACAAATTCAATCGGTATCACAATTGATTTAGTTGAAGTATATACTTACAGCGTGTCTATTTACTAGATCACGCCACACTTTAAACGGAAAAACCTTCATCCAACCTGTCCGAAAATGGCTCCATTTCGAATGAATAATTTAAATTGAGACTTGGTTGTCGTCCACGATAACATATAACCAACGGCATTGTCTCGAAGAATCATAACCTCCCCCGCACCATCCGACCCAGTTTTTATCGTTACTCACACACAGGTATGGTGGAACAAAAAAAAAACAATGTTCTTACCCAAAAATAACATCAGATCTCATATCTCGCTTTTATTTCCCCGAGCAGCAGCAATATTTTGCCATATGTGAACCTTTCCCATGAAATTTTACGTGCTCTAGTTTGAACTGAATGATGAGGAGAAGATGGTGGAGGAGGAGGAGGAGGATATAAAACTGCGAATCAACCTGCTCGACTGAAGGGCAACCTTCATCGGGCTCGGAATTACCCAGGCATAAAAGTTCCGTTTTTCGACCAACCTGTGGGTGACCGACCGGTGGAGCTTGCTTGTAATAAAAGGTGAGCATTTTCGTCCTGAAAAAGAAATGCTCATTGAAGAAGCCGAAATCATGAGGTACAGCATTTGTTGTTCACTAGCTCACTGATGTGGCTAAACACAGAATCCAACCAAATATGTTAAACACATTTGAAATTTCCGGATCCGAGACCTAAGTTGTGGAGCAAGGCTCATTTTTTTCAGTATCGAGCACCTCCCATCCAGAGGCCTGGAACCGCCGGTGACCATACCATCAACACCAAGGACATGCCATTTTTATGTCGAATATCTTCAGAATGCGAAATGCAGTAAAACACGACACTCGCAAAGTACCGAAGTTGATCACTTACCGTTTCTGATGGAGGGCATCCTTGTGCAGTGCGCCACCGGAACCGGATGCTGCTGCCGTCGTCGTCGTTGCCGTTGTCGACGGTTGTCCCATCGAGATGTAGTACAGGCATAGCAGGATGGTAACGAACGCCGACAGGAGCCCGATGCAGCGGGCCGACCCACGGCGGAAGATTTTCACGGTCATGATTTTTCTCCTCTTGCCACTACTTGATGATCTGCTATAAAGCTAGCACCCAGAACAGAACACGGTACGGAAGCACTAAACTAGCTGCCGGCAGTCACTCATTTATGATGTACGTATTTTCACTTTTCAACTAGAGGGGTGGGCGTAACTTTACGATTCAGGATTACACACTCTGCTCTTCGCCTCCTGCAGGGAGTACAATTCAATTCACTTTGCTTCCGCCAATTATAGAACACTGCTTCATTCACTCATAATTCTCTTGTTCATGGAACAGTCCCATTTCACCTATCCGATTAGCACCTGAAAGTAGACAATGGAGAAAACGATCGATTAAGTTGCTATGTTGTGAATTGTTCGTACAAAACAAATGTTGTACAATTTTTACGACTAACTGGATAGTAACTCAAGCGTTTATCGCTACAAACTTTTCGCAGATAAGCGACCTTGTTCCGAGGATATGCTTCGCACGGGTAGCTACACCGAAGCATCATGAATCAAAATACCGCCGTTGTTATTGTTGTTGATGTCATTTGCTGTTGCTGTGCCCGGGGGGCGATAATAAATTTCAGCGTAAAACCAAAAAATAAAAGAACACACAACCTACAATGTCCTCGCAAATACCAATAGCGGTCATAACCGAACCGATGCGACGCTGCCCGTGGCGATCGACCGACGCGGTGCGATGACGATGGCAGGAAGCGTAGTAACATATTCATAACGTTATGTTACGTGTGGGAAACCATGAAAATGCATACATAATCATTTATGGTCCCTCCACAGTCCACACCACTGTACCTTTCGTTTCACTTGCGTTGTTTTCTATGTCGTTAGGAAGGGTGTATTCTGTAAACAAAACAAAAATGTCCCACCAAACTGACCGTCATTGAGGTTAATGTATGTTATGACAATATGGCACAACTGGTTGAACTAACTTCAAATTGTTTGGCACTGATGTCAAGTGGTTGTGTGTTCGGTGTAGTGTATGATAATTTAAGAAAGTTTTGGATGAGTTTTGAGTATATAATCAATTCGAAAAAAATTTCCGTTTTAACATCACCCCACCGTTAAACATAAATCATGTGTAATATCGCATAAATCAGCGATGGGTTTTATATCCCATGCACGATAATTTAATTTGATTGTATCAGGATTTGCTGCTACAATGGTGCTTGGTGTCCTTTCGCATTTCCCTTTGTTACTCGGTTTGACCTCGATCTCGCTGATCTGTTGTTCGGTTGAAGCGATGAGCAACGCCTTTGTTTCTCGAAGTATTGTGATAAAAACTACAAGGGACAGCCCTATGGGGTTGTACGCAATGGTGACGTAGGACTACGTGGTCTTTTATAATAAATGTTATTTGTTAACCGCAGCAGGAGCTTGTGTTTTGTGTAGGAATAGAAATTTGAGAGGGGTAGCCTTTCGTTGTGTACTGGAGAACACCACCACTCACCACGCGGTGATTGAATAAACACCGTTTGGTGAGACCGGATGGAATTCAATTTTGAAATCTGTGTTAGAGAAAACGTTTTTCGCAGGTAATCGCTGATAATTTTAATTATCATAGCAACAGTTGCACCTTCGTGACATTTTGAAAAATCATAAAGTCTTCAATTCAACAGATGCGTAAAAATATTTCTGATCGATTGGTGATAAAGTTATTGAAATTGGTCCAGGGGCAGCTGAGTTATTAACGTTCAAAATCTTTCATAATTTTGTTACATGTTCCATTTTCGGTATTCACAAAGTGCACCCCCATATAGAAGTCACAGATTGATGATTTTTTCCTGACTGCCTTTGGCTCTGACTGCGATGTCATAGTTCTTACGGAAACCTGGCTCGATAACCGCATTAATTCATCTCAATTATTTTAGATGTGTTGTCAAACATGGACTGGGAGAACATTCTCGATCATGACGACGTTGAGGCCGCTGCGCAAACTTTTTCTCATGTCTTGGCATACACGTCATTGACAGACACGTCCCGAAAAGAATTCAACGCAAAGACTCTCACCCTCCCTGGCAGACGATTGAGCTGCGTAGGTTGAAGTCGATCAAGAGAGCAGCATTGAGAAGATTTACGAAGTATCGCACGCTTCCTCTGAAACATCACTACGTGAGGCTTAATCACAAGTATCAGCGAGCCAGTCGTCGATGCTTTCTGCGATTTCAACGAGGTATTCAGCGTAACCTTAAACTACACCCGAAATCCTTCTGGAACTACGTGAACGAGCAACGCAGAGAATCTGGCCTCCCATCGTCAATGGAATTGAACAGTGAAGTCGCTTCCACTCCGCAGGATATTTGTCGCCTTTTTTCTGTCAATTTTGCCAGTGTGTTCACTGATGAGAGACTAAGTGACGACCATGTTTCCCTCGCAGCCAGCAACATCCCACTAAATGGTCAAACGCTGAGTGCAATTGATGTCAACGTTGAGATGATTTCTAACGGTGCAACGCAGCTCAAATCGTCCTTCAACCCTGGACCCGATGGAGTTCCGTCCGTGTTTTTGAAGAATCATATTGCTTGCTTGTTAACTCCACTTCAACGTCTATTCCGGATGTCTCTCTCCAGTGGTATATTTCCATCCTTCTGGAAATGTGCACACATGTTTCCTGTCCACAAAAAGGGAAGCAAACGAGCCGTGGATAACTATCGTCGAATTACATCGCTGAGTGCTGTTTCGAAACTATTCGAGCTTGTTATTATGGAGCCGTTGCTCTCTCACAGCAAGCAGTATCTGAGTGCTGATCAACACGGGTTTACTGGCGGTCGCTCTACAACCACCAATCTGCTATGCCTCACATCCTACATTACCGATAGTATGACTGAACGGGTACAGACGGACGTTATATATACCGATCTATCCGCGGCATTCGATAAGTTGAATTGCGATTGCTAAACTTGACAGGCTTGGGGTGAGCGGTAATCTCTTGAGTTGGTTCCGTTCGTATCTTACTGGTCGCCAACTTATGGTTGCTATAGGAGATTGCAAATCAGCTAGCTTCCTTGTTGCCACATCAGGTATACCGCAGGGAAGCCATCTGGGACCGTTGATTTTTCTACTCTACTTCAACGACGTGAACCTGGTTATCGAAGGACCTCGATTAGCATATGCAGACGACCTCAAAATATTTTTACGAATTTGCTCGATCGCTGACTGCCACAATCTTCAACATCAGCTTAATGTCTTCGCCAGTTGGTGTACTTTAAATCGAATGGTAGTGAACCCAGCAAAGTGCTCTGCCATAACGTTCTCACGAAAAAAAAGCAACCGATTGTATTCAGCTATGACCTGCTTGGAACGACACTCGAACGCGTGAATCAAGTGAAAGAACTGGGTGTGGTGTTGAATTCACAGCTAACATTCAGGCAACACATTTCTTATGTCATCGATAAGTCGTCTAGGACTTCAGGATTCATCTTCAGGATAGCTAAGAATTTCACCAATGTCTACTGCTTAAAATCTCTTTACTGCTCCCTCGTACGATCGACGCTTGAGTATTGTTCTGCGGTTTGGAATCCGAATTACAACAATGGTGCCGAGAGAATCGAATCTGTTCAACGTCGCTTTCTTCGTTTTGCGCTTCGTAGACTGCCCTGGAGAGATCCGCTTCGGCTGCCCTGTTAATAGGGGATCAGACGGACCCTCCTACAATGCCTTCGATCCCTGGTCTAGCCACGGGGACCATTGAAGGTGGGCTCTCAAGGCCTCTTTTGATTGCTCTTGGCAAGCTTGACGCACTTTTGCGCTCAGGGTCGGCTTTTATCAAGGGAATCTGCTTAACAAGAGTCCAGTCACCAGATAAAAAACTACACAACGCAAACTAAAGTTAAACACATTTTTATTCTGACTTACAGCAATGGTATGTGTGTTTGTGGGTATGATGGGCCGGCCGGCTGCAGGTGCAGAAGAGCGTGGTGGGACGTCGTAGGTTCGCGATCGGTTGTTGGTCATGCGGACCGAAAAGCACCTGATCGGCTGCGTTCGTTGATCTGCTGGTTGGATACGATGGCGTCGGTACCCCTGGCTTAACCTCTGCGGACGGAGGCCACGTGGGCTGTGGGTCTATTCGTGAAGCTGCGATCACAATGGGCCTTTGGCTGGTCGAGGTTTGGGTTTGGCTACGCACCTCGCTCGGGACTTTTATTCCAGGTCAGCTGCCTTAGCTAACCGATAACGGAACGACTTCAACCGGAATACAATGGGTCCTGGTTGGGTGAGGGAAATATCAAAGGGGGCAGGTGTTACCATAGAGCACTACTGGTTTTGGGTTCCGGGGTCCATAATCGTTTTATGGGTGATTAGGCCTACCTGGTTCGATTTTCTCCAATTTAACAATATAAATTGAGATTATAGTCACTTTTCCACTTCACTGTGCACAACTGGTC